CCCCGCCTCGCTGCCGGAAGACGCCACTGCCCGCGGCTTTGGGCGCGGGCCGCTTAGCCAGCTCGCTAGGTTGTTGACTGGCAGTTTATAGACGCTCTGGAAGACGTATCCGATGGTACAACTCTCTGAGGTGAAGTTGCTCGACAAGCTTCGTCCGTGCCCGCAAGAGGTCACGTACAGAAGATTTGATCAGATTCTATCTGTCTAGTAGAAGTACTGAAGATGACCAGGTAGTTGTGGCAGTTAATTTTTACAATTCGCAACCTTGTAAGCAGGCGGTGAGCCTCGACTCACTATCCATATTTTTATATCCATATTTCATAATACGTTTGGATGTTTGCCTAAACAACATAACCAGTTGGCCTCAACTACTCTTACAATCTAGAGAAACATGATTCTCAAATCCTTATTTATCTCTTTAAAAAATAAAACTATTGGTTGCCGAAATGAATGCCGACTTATTTCAATTACACAAATTCTTTAATTGTAACTTGCAAAGTATTTTTTCATTACCTACAGAAATTGATTATCTATCAATTAAATTTTACTGAATGCATAACTATTGTTTCATTGAACGCGTAACGATACTGAACGATACGAAACGATAACGCGACCGCGTAACGATACTGATTTAGTAATTATGGTGTACATGACCAAAAAATACCACTATTTCATTTGATATATTTGACCAAACTTTGTAAAAAGCCGTATGTCATGTATGGGGGAGAAGTGTCGTCTGCGCACTTTTTCTATTCTAGAATCTCTTCCCAAATTTCGTCTCGTTCGTAGGGCTCAATTGACATGACTTGAAACAGTCTACGTTGTCTTACTCGGTTGATGGGATATTTTGTGATTCACTTATAATGTATTTTATAGGCCACACCTTTACCTACTTGCCCTGGGACGTTTGCTATGCGTATGTTACTTGAACAGTAGTAATTGCTTTACCTGTAATGGTTTTACCCAAGCATATCACTGTCACGGGCTAGCTTACTAGAGTTCGCAGACACTGCATCCAGGGCAAGTGCTGTGAGTCTTAAAAGTAAGGGTTGTAGATATTTCTCCGGGATGTCGGTACGTCTCTCGAAACCTGGTGCATGACAGTCTTTTGGAGAAGTCACTTGAGTGTTATAGTCCCAAAACCGATATTAACTCAAGTTTTCTATACTATTAAAATCCAAAATGCTATTAAAATAAAAGTCATATTTTACATTGTCTATTGGAACTAAAATAAATCATTTTAAATAGAAAGGATCTTCATTTCGTCAACGCGTTTACTTAAGAAAGCAATAATTGCATTAATTTCATTTGTTCAAGTTAGGAGGTTTAACATACAAAGATTGTTAAAAGAGTTGTCCACTTATGAGATAAAGTAGTTTATTTATAGAATAGTGTTATCTTGATTTGCATGACTATATACAGCTAATAACAGAATGATTTAATAAAACAACAGGAAATGAAAATAAGCAAATAATTTGCATTTTAATTATATTCCTGCCTCAAGGCATAATTTAAAAAGAAAATGCACATGCAATAAATTAATAAGTAGTAAAGAATACTGTCATAATTCAAATCTAGTTTGTTGAAAAAAAAACACCTTCAGACAAACGCTTTCGATTCAAGCAACCGTAATATTTCGAGATATTTTGAGCGCCGTTTGTATTTAGTTTCCGTGACACATAATGCGCGTGCACACCCCCTTCTGGATTTGGAGCGGAAATGGGTGCAGACTAAGAAGAAATTGGCCGTGCTCAGAGGGGAGACAGACTTCCCAGGCAGGCAAGTAGCTGGTGCGTGCGTAATATGACCAGTCAAGTTTAAACTATTTTCACTTAATATTTATCATTACCATCATTCCTTCTTTTTGTTACTTTAAAACATAGGTATTAATGAAATACACACTACTGTCCTGTCATCAATGCCGACCACATCAAGTCAATACTAGAAAGTAGTAATACGTAGGAAAGAAATATCTTCCAAATGCTTCACATAGTTTAGCTATACTTACAGTTTCTCTGTACAAGCGAAAAGATTTGCTGAGCCCTCCGCAGTTCAAGAACGCTCCGTCATAAATTCTCACAGCTCTATCGCGCAGCACAGAAAGACGGGCAGGCAGCCGGTTTGTTGATTGGCAGTTTATGGACGGCCGGCTGGCAGCAGACTGGCGGAAGACAAGTGAGCATCGACGGGGTCGCCTCGAGGGCACACACCACCTTCTCAACGGCCATTCGAACTGAAGGCACAACAGCGAGATTCTAAAGCTCTCCCCTGCACCATTTCTAAGAAATCAAATTTCCCGCTTTTTACTGATTTATTTCGCATACTTTAGTATTTTTTAATATTCATTCCAATCGTTTAGAATTTAATTCTCATTCCGCCTCTCAAGACCAAAAGTTAATGAGAGCAAGCCCACAATAAATACAACTTTAACCGTTGATGGAAAGTCTATTTGAGAATATCAGTGTTTCAGACATATTGTTTTAAAACTTATAATTTTTAAAAAAAAGTGTGTATCATAGTTCCCCCCGTGTCAGTATCAAAGCTCAGTATCCAACATTCACACAAAATATAGTGCATAGTACAACATAGTACTACTTTTAAATACATTCACGTTCAATACATTGTACATCACATTGTCATTAAACGATTAAAAAACGATTCCGAAGTTTACCTATCAAAGAAAAACTTTTCCTGCTGCATAATTGTTTCTCTTCAATTTAGAAACTATAAAGAGAATATAATAAAAAGTCTTGCTTTCAACAATGATACTTAACTATTTTACTGTAAAATTCTAAAAGACAAAATATGCCTGTATTAAAATTGTACCTCAACTTCAGAGTTAATGACTCCATGTTGATCAGGATTTTCGTTATCTCCCTCATTCCTTCCTGAGATAGTCCCTTGTTTTGCTTCTGGACATAAATGTTGCTTCCCTCATTAGCTGTGCACCTTTTTCTTCAGCTCAGTAAGGTATATTGTTCAAATAATCGTTCTCTCTATTCTAGCAGCAATGATTCGTTCACGCCTTTGCAAATAGTTTTTGTTACACGGTTCTGGTTAATTTATTACTTAGTGATTCCGGGCGTGTTACCTGTAGTGCTTGCTTTTTCGCGGACGGTGGCAATGTTCTTCCTTCACTAGAAGAGATTTGGAGCCGACGTACATCAGCTTGCTGGGATTTTCTTCGACCAGATATCTCCCCCCAGCGCGACACTGGTCTCTCGACAAGAGTGCCAGTGTAGTGGATGTGAGTGTTAGTGTTAGTGTTAGTAAGGAGTTAGGATAGGACACGAAAGAGGAAAGAATGATAGCGCGCGACGTGTAGCCCGTTTGTTAGGGTACTACTCCGGTATTCGCCTGGTGTTGATAGAAAAATTCACGGAGAACTACCTATCTGCGCAGCCGATAGCTAAAATTCTTCTCCAGACAGTGGTTAAATTTGACCTAAATATCTGGCTACTGGAGAAAATCCTGCCCCCATCGGGATTCGAACCCTAAGACTTCCCGATCAGAGGCACTGCAGTGATATCAGTTGATGACTTGAGCCACCCTTGCTGGCCGTTCATTTCTATCTGCATTAATAATTAAACTTAATATGTATGAATTGCATATTAAACCTTAATTTGTTGCTTTTGGTGTATAGAGACAAAATTAGTATCTCAAGTGATTTCTTAAATGATAATTACTCCCCTCAAATTCTGTACATTTCCCGGAGATAGTATTACTACCTACAGAGACTTACCAACAATTATTGACTTTACCAACTCTATGTTACTGAAGAATCTGAGAAGAATTGACTGGATAATTATAATGCAGATAATAGTATCTTCTTTGAGACGATGAACAAGAATAAATTATTCAAGCAATTATAGCATAAGGAAGAACTTGAGATATTATATTCTATGTTGTTAACCTACATTTTATAAAAAATTTATGGGGATTTTTTTGTGTAATCCTTGTTTACTATGAGATGCATTTCAAAGTTTTTAACATAAAACATGACATTAACATAACCTTAGAAATACCGGATAGAACCTCTAAACATTTTGCTATTATGTATAATAGCATGACTGTAGTCATAAATATTTATAGTTTAACAACGAGGAAATTTATATAAAAAGGAGTTAAATTTTTAATTTAGTATTTTTTAGAATGTAATAGAAAGAGATTCGCAAATAACAAATGATGTATAATGTCTTTGAATGACAAATTGTACTTATGAGAAGGTGATTGAATTTCCAAGCTATTGACATTTCACATTAAAATTATACTTTTCGGATTATTCGCCATTTAATCAGAAATCAAGTAATAAAATATTTCATAATATTTTCTGGATTTGAGAAATTATTACTTTAGCTTGCATAATACTGTTTGTAATTAAGTTGTCTGGCTTGTACAATGAAGGCAAGATGAAACATATATTTTTAAACAAATTTAATTTCAATTGGCAGAGAAGTTAATTTTGGAAATTTTCCCAATCTTTTCAACACCTAACAATTATTGAGAAAAATCATTATTAGTTGGTGTGGTTTGTACATACGAGGAAATGACAGAGTGGAGTATCAAAAATAACAAATTTGCGTGTATTTTTTTTATTAATTAACTTTTATTGTAAGAAAACTTAATTTACAATTGTAACATTCACTATAAATTGCAATATGATTTTTTAGAGTTACCTATCTAAAGAGGAAATTCTTCAATATAGTGATATTTTTCTCTGAGTAGCAGTTTTGACGATGGTTTAGTTCCTAATTTTATTATTAATATTATTAATTATTATTAGTTTATTTAATTTATACATTTCACAACCTTGGGAGGTATCTTATTTCTACAGCACGCATTTCTATTTCTTTTTTGCTTATTAGGATGTCCATAAACGGATGATTTAGAATATATTTTATTTCATTCTGGTTTATTTTCATGATTTGAGAATAATATTGGAATATCGTAAATTGTTACTGACACGTTTTTTATCGTCATTGGTAAAATATTGAATGTTTTACAATCTACAATATTTTCTATAATTTCTAAAGTCGCGAATAGATTGCAAGAAAATTAAGTTAAGTATAATCAAATTTTCAAATTGGTATACGTCTGTGTTTAATAATTAACCTTTTCGAATGAATTATTTACAGACAATTTATTCTTCAATTTTCTTGCGACAACATTTCGAATCTCAGTTTTTTAGATTCTTTAGGTAATTTAAATAATAAAGAGAAGAACACAATGATTACCTTTAGTTCTTTATGTAAACAAAACATTATAAATGAAATCATTATTCAGACTACTTACCATCTGCTAGCGTTATCAATCAACTTCGTTAAAATGTGTTATGGATACACTGAATTCATCCAACAATTACCACTGAGTTCATTTTTGAGAAACGTTCGAAAATGTCAAGGATATGTGTAAAGGATCCCAAAAATGAAAGTAACGGTTTGAAACTCGCAGAACAGGATTTTTCAGATCGGTCTAGGAATATCAATTTGGAAGAAAAATTGCAGCACGGGTTTTGCGTAATTTCTGCTTGAATGCAATTTATCCCCAAAAATTGTTAAACATTACTCCAAATGAATCTGCGTTGACTCGAAAGATTTAAAATTGATTCGGCACACAGGAGAAATTGTTAAATGATTGGAAACTTCATTTACTGGTTGTGCCACTTTTGTACGTTGCATGTAGTCATTACAAATAAGGCGGAAAAGTGTGGAGTGTTCTCGCACCACCAATATCAGATTTCATATTACTCATAATAACGTCTTTCGAGGGATTTCCATTTTACATGGTGACTTTTTGGGATTTAGGCATTCCTTGACAAATTGAAGTTAAAATACTCTGGCTCATTTAATTCATTTGTTTCCTTCTAGATGCTACTGAAATTTAATCTCGATTTTTTGAGAAACTGTTAGAATTGTTCTGTCGAGCAATATGGAGGGAAACGGAAAAAAATTACTTAGGGTGGTTTAAGGACAGAGATAGGGAAGATATTACTTTAGGGTGGTTCAAGCATATCTTGGGGAAATTTAGATTTGATTCGACTTGGGATGTTTGCTGTCAGGCCAAAATGGAATTTCAGAGCGGAATGAGATGAGGAGAGGGAAGAATAGAGAATAGAAATTTTTTGCTACTTTTTTTCTATGTTCTGGCACTGTATCCATTTGGAGTTCTGTTAATTTGATGACTTGGTATAAACCATGGACCTTCATTTATTTCCTAAGGACTGTATTTCCTAAGGACTGTAAGGACTGACTGCAGCATTTCCCCACACTGGGCAAGCATAAGTTAGTGTGGGTAGGATAATAGATTTATAAAGTAGAATCTGGCATTTCGGTATTAAGTGTTAAATGTTGGCATAAACGAGTATTGTTTTGATAATTTGGCATTGGATTTGTTGATTTCCACGTGAATATGGTTTTTTTTAGGAACATTTCTTATCTAATAATACTTCGAGATACTTAATTGGTTCACTTTTCAAGGGTATTTCATTGTCATATATTTTCAGATAGGAAGGGTTTTGCGGTCTCCTGAGAGTAAATATATAAGTCTGGCATTTTTGTGGATTGATTGCGATTCTCCATTTTGTTCTCCATTGCATTGGGATGTTAAGACTATCGTTAACTATATTGTATGCCAGGTTAATATATGTACTTGCTGTAAACAGTACCCTATCGCCAGCAAAACGAGCAGTTTCCACGTTAGAGTATTAGGGTATTTCACGCACGAAATATTAAATAAAATACGTGAGAAAACTGAATCCTGGCAAGCTCCGGCTGTGTTTACGAAACATAGAAAATGAGTGATAATTTTTGACTTCAAATTATATATCAGTGATAGAGCCTTTAATAATATTCTGAATATTCTCAGGTCCTCCGAGTTGTCTTATTTTGATTAACAGACCGGTATGCCAAACTCTCTCGTACGCTTGTGCACTATCCAGAAATGCAGCTAGAGTATGTTTTTTTCTCTTGGAAGCTCTAAGCATTGAACTCAGTAAACAGCTGGTGTGTGCAGGAGTGATTTGATCTGAAACCAAATTGAATATCTTGTATTGCTTCCGTGTCTCTCAGGCATTTGTTAAGTCTCTTTAGAAGAAGCCTCTGAAAAATCTTAGAAATTGAGGGTAAGACACTGGTAAGGTCTGAAATGTTCAGGGCGTCTAGAATATTTTCCTGGCTTGCGAAAAGGAAGGACAATTACAGTCTTCCAGGC